ACATGAAGGAAGGCTGAACAAGTGAATGAGGAGGAGAAAAAATGCAGGAATAAATAAATGTGTGACATCTTAAAACAGAAACCTGAGATCCACGTTTCCTGTCTGTTTGAGGCTTTAATCAGTCAGAGCATTGTTTGTCTCTGATACTACATATTATAGCCCCGCAACCACCTCAATTACATGCAAGAGAACCATAAACATCTGTTAGAGCAGCTTTTGGAAAAGCCATAACTCTGAATGGGCCTTGTGTCTGTGTGTTGTGTAAGGGCAGTCAGTGGTGGGAACTGGTGATTGCTATTTATAGAGCTTTGAAAATACCACCACTTCCTTTAATCTGCCAGTCTTCAGCCAAGTGTTCAAGAAGAATGTATTCAAGAAAGAATGAGTCTAAAAACCTAAAGGCAAAGGGGAATGGCTCTTTAAAATTACTAATTTCCTTCTTCGTATTTAAAAGTTCCTGAAATGTTGGGATCTGCTTGTTGCTCCTTTACTTACCAGTTATAAAATGTTGACCTTATTAAAAGATGGCATCTGCGCAAACAACTGTTAAATTTTCATTAGATTTTTAATGGGTGCTTGCTGTTGTTTCCTGTGCTTTGGTTACTAACACAAAAAAATGTCTCCAAGTGTTGATGATGGCACTCTTGATAACAACTAACAGGGCTGTTAACTGTTTCCCAGCCAGCTTTCCCATCAGTTTTAAGCAACAATAGGTAAATCCTCATTAGACAGCAATCAACTCTTACGGACAAAGAAAGTCCCTAGAGAAATATCTAAATAATAATACATACTGGTTTGAAAAAATATATATTTTTGAGAAGAATTGAGGTAAAAATATCAGGCAGTTTGTTTCCTGAATCTTTTTTATGTTATATTATAGAAACAATAAAGGTGTTCAAAATGTATAACATTTTAATTCCACTTTTTATTTGCAATTATTCGTCCACACACCAGGTGGCGCCATTCTGACTGTAATGGTATTTTCTCTCATATTTTGTTCTTTACTGCTCCTGGGCACTAAGATGTTTCAGGTTAGAAAAGATAAT